GATAAACAGTAAAATTTAATTTTATTAATTCTTTGTAGATTTGTATGGGAGTCTCCTGAATGTTGTTCTTCTTTGATATATGTGTGGATGATATAAAAATCACCGAGACACTTTAGTTATCCTATGGTTTTAGTTCAGGAGTCAGACAACAATTGTTGAATCTGTAAGAATGCAAAAAGTACAATCATAGGAAAGAAAGTAGTACAGTATTTGTTACATATAAAAATATTAGTGTGTACTCTAAATAATAACCCTTATGTTATTTTTGCTTTTGTGTTCAAAAAATTCACAGACTCATAAAGGGTTCTGTCCATGATCTGGTAATTTGAAATATTAACTACTAGATATATTTCTAATATATATGTGTAAAATAAATCTGATATACAAACATTATCATGTTTTCCCAGAACATTAAGCATATGCAGTGAATACAGGAGCTCTGAGATTTACTTGCCAGTTTTCATACCACATGTGGAAAATTTCAAGTCTGTGGCATCTTATTAAACGAACACATACAGAGAGTAATTTATTAGTATTTATGTATATGTACACTTTATTATTGAATTTTAATTATGTAAGTTTGCATATCTAACTGTTTCATTACAAAATCCAGAGAATATTCTACTATATTATGAGGAACATTATGAATTCAAAATATTACCAGAATGTCTTATATTATTAACAAAAATGATGGAAGGGGAAAAATAGATTTTCTCAGGTATGCTAGCTTTGAAATGATTCCCATGTGCTGGAAGAATGCCCCATACTAAAACACAGAGACACATTTTCCCTGAAGTCAGATGTCACTGAAAAGAGAGAACAGATAAATGACCCGAGGATGGAGTACTGATATTGGTGATTACAGGGAAAATCTAAAGAAGGCATTGCTGTGAATTTTATCAAAATTTAAATGTTCATATAAAAATATCTTAAAACATGTCAAAAATATTAATTAAGACTATTGCTCTGAAATCAATGTCATAAAATGTACACATAAGTAAAACACTAATACAAGCATGCACTTAATTGTGAAATTTGAAAATAATACGTATATTGTGTTTTTTCTAAATGAAAACATCAAATTATTGCTAAATTATCATGACATTGTTAGATACAATTTTGTAATTTTTGCATGTTCAGATTCGGCTTTAAAATATTGTTTTTATTTATCTTTATTATTGCATGTTTTTATGTAAAATATATACATATTGGTGTAGGTGGTCCTTCTCTACATGTGTTGCTTCCATTGGTTAATGAATAAAAATCTGCCTAGGTCTTTTGATAGAACAGAACATAGCTAGTCAGGGAAAACTGAACTAAATGCAGGGAGAAAAAAAGCAGAGGAGAGAGCTACCATGGAGCCACCAGAGTCAGACATGATGAAAATTTCCCAGTAAGTCACTGTCATGTAGCAATATACAGATTGATAGAAATGGGTTAAATCAAGTTGTGAGAGTTAGCCAATACGAGGTTAGAGAAAATGGGTTAAGGAGTATTTTAATTAACATAATTTCTGTTTTGTTATTTCAGGGCTAAGCAAGCAAGATGGCTGGGACGAACAAGCAGCCTTTCCCTGAAACAATTAGAGCTCAAAGTGATCAACTAAATCAATAAAATATATGAACTACAAAAGGTATGAATAAATACAACTGCTTATTACAATTATGTTTTTGTAAATAGAAATGTATTCATATATACTCACTCTATACACATTGTGGCAATTTGTGTATCCAATTTTATCTTCAGAGTTTCACAAACACAATTTCAGCAATCTCAATCCATTCCATCTTTGTGAGTACTAGCAGCTACAATATCATCTAGTCTGGTAATCTTCTGGTCAATCCACTACACCAAACTTTCAGGAAGCTAGTGTGGTTCATTTTCTTCCTCTAAACACATACACACACATGCACATGCTCGTTCAGTCCCAGTCCAGATGGCCTTGGTGAGCTCCCATTAGATCAGTCCCAATGTCCCTGTGGGTGGACACATCCCTCGCGGTCCTGACTTCCTTTCTAATGTTTTCCCTCCTTCCAGTCTTCATCTGGGCCTGTGCTCCAATGTGGGTCTCTGTCTCTATCCAATCCATCACCAGATGAAGGTTCTATGATTATATGCAAGGTATTCATCAGTATGGCTATGGGATAAGGCCAGTTCAGGCACCCTCTCCTCTGCTGCCCAAGGACCTAGCTAGGTAAATCCCCATGGACAACAGGGAACCCCTCTATGGCCAAGTCTCTTGCCAACCATCAAATGGCTCCCTTAGTTAAGATATCTTCTCAGTTCCTATATCCACCCATCCTCCATCTCAACCACTTTGAAAATCAGTGTGGTGGTTTCCAGGAAACTGGGAGTCAACCCACCACACGATCCCACAATTCCACTCTTGGGATTATACCCAAGAGATGCCCAATCATACTTCAAAAGCATTTGTTCAACTATATTCATAGCAGCACTATTTGTAATAGCCAAAACCTAGAAACAACCTAGGTGCCCCTCAATAGAAGAATGGATAAAGAAGGTTAGGCACATATACACTTTAGAGTTATACTCAGCAGTAAAAAGAAATTACATCTTGAATTTTGCATGCAAATTGATTGAAATAGAAAACACTTTACTGGGTGAGGTAACCCAGATCCAAAAAATGAAGATGGTATGTACTTACTCTTAAGTGGATTCTAGCCATAAACAACAGACATTGAGCTATAATTCGAGATACTACTGAAGCTAAATAAGGTGAACCCAAAGAAAAACATACATTTATCCTCCTGGATATTGGAAGTAGAAAAGACCGCTGGGCAAATGTTGGGAACATGGGGGTGGTTTGCGGGGAAGGGGTATCTTAAAAGTAGAGGGGGTAGTAGTTTTTCATGTCTTATCTGAATACATAGGTTTAGGGCATAGCTCTAGGCATTCTCACAGTTACTCTCTATACTAAGATAACAATTATTTCTAAGATTTACAAAAGCCAAACTCCATAGAAAAACTAGATATAAGCTGAGGGATCCATGCCTGATACATAAACCTAATTAATAAAACAAAGCCTTTAAATAGACAAAATTTAAATAGTCGTAGATTAAATGAGTAAAGAAAAACAAGTGATGTAAAGATGGAAAATACAAAGAGAGACTGGATTATGTACATTATTGCGTTTTCTTTTATTTCTGACTGTTGTTGCATGGAGAGTGGGACATTTTGTTCCATCCACGCTGTCCCTCTAGATTTCACCTGAAATAATCACAAAGAAACTGTATTCATTTCAACACTTCCTGGTCCATTACCTCTAGCTTCTTATAGGCTAACTCTTACATTTTAGTGTAACCCATTTCTATTAAATCTGTGTATCGCCAAGTGACTGTGGCTTACCAGCACAATTCTAACCAGCATTGTATGAGGCAGGAGATCCATGGCATCTCTCACTCTTTCCCTTTTCCCAAAATTCAGTTCTGTCTACTCCCTCCTTAACTAAGTTCTGTCCTATAAACTAGGCTAAAGCAGTTTCTTTATTCATTACTAATGAAAGCAACACACAAATAAAAAGAACTCCCACTCCAGACTGTAAATGAGTTAAGTACAGAGGTACATTTCATAGTATGTGGTGCTAATCTAAACCAGCATATATGTTTTAAAGATGTCTTGACATCAAAATTTGGTTCGAGTTGTATATTTGCATATAATTCATTCTTTCATATTACATGTAACAATTATAATCTGACTACATAAAAACTATACATATAAACAGGCAAAAACCAATCACAAACAATCAGAAAATAAGATGCTTTGGCAGCCCAGATTCCCAATCAAAAATATCCAGACAATAATGAAGGCTTCTATGTATACAGGTAGATTCGAGGCAAAAGCAGCTGCTGGCTCACTCTGCCTGTCACATTGCCAGTTTTGTAGTCTGTTAACTGGACGTAAGACCCGGTATATAGTAGATTTTATCTTGTGGTCCCCTGTCATTTTTTTTCTGCTTCTTTTCACAACACACAGGGAGGAGGGAGACACAGATGACTCATCAGCTCTGGATGAGATCACCATGTTAAATGCAGTCCTGTGCTTTCCTGTCCTCGGTTTGTGATCTCTTTCCTTATTGGTTCCTAGATGGCATAAAAAGGATGGATCTGAGGGATTTTGCCAGTGGGGCTTTGACTAAAGTCCTGCTTTGAGCAGGACTTTAGTCAAAGCCTCACTGTAAACAATACCAGTGAAGAAAATGTGTCCTAGAGACCTGCAGGATACAGAAGCAATAGGAAAAGCAAGGAATTTGTGAGAAGAGTCACCAGTTTCTGTTTGCAGTGCAGGAAATGTGCTCGAGTCTGATGCCAATGATTCAGCCGTAAAATCTGTGATACCTAGGTGAGCCTTAGGTTCTGTATTTTCTGAAATGAAGATTTATTTAAAAAGTCTATACCTGATAACTTCCGGGTTGTATTGATTTTATGCGTCTTTGGAGCCCTCCCTAAGATAATTGCTATGCCGGCAAATAGACTCAGGTACCTGGGAATATGAAAATTTCAAGTGTCTGATTTCCTCATCAGTATGCATAGGGGACTCTGACTTGATATTTCTCAATGTGATACCGGGAAGCAGCAATCCAAAGCACAGTAACACAATCAGCCATCAGTAGGAAGAAATAGAAATTTTCAGGTAGATAGGATGCAGACCCAAGAAGTCAGATATGTGATCACATCCTAGTTAACTCACAATAATTTCCCCTTTTTAATAATCGAATTCTGGTCCTAGGTAAACTACATTTTTTTCCTGTTATCCACTTTACTTTCATTTTTTTTTTTTCTGTCAGAAGAAACATTGAGGTTGGGGGAGAAATGAGTCAGCAGCTCTGATGCAGATCTCCAAGGTAACCACAGGCTTTGTTCCTATTGGTGGAATTGAGATCACACTCTTCATTGTTCATGGAAAAATTTGAATGCACACACTTATTCCGTCCGCAGCAAGAAGAGCTAATATTATTGTCAGCCTAGCAGGTCCTTCCTAGTCAGCCTTTGGAAATAACGCTATCTCTCTGCTACAAATTTTTTATACTGGAAACTGGAATGTACATTGGCTCAGACCCGGCAGACTGCTCTTGACATCTGTATGAGAAAAAGCCCAGGGAAATTAGCAGTCAGGTAATGTTTTATTCCCACTATTACAGTTCTGAGTCACCTGCTATGGTCTGTGTGTCATGTCCATCCCTGTTTCTGAAAATTCTCCTTCTCTTTAAACTCGTGGTACCACTGTATCTGTCTTAAAACACTGCAGTAACGGCAAGTAAATATTTCAATTCAGGTTTCAGTATCTGACAGCGTCTAGGGGAGTCATGCCCTTTACTCTTTTCCCTGAATTTCATTGTGAAAATTGGTTGGTATTGCAGGTTTCTTTTTAACAAAAGCTTAGACTCATTGAAAATATCATGTAGTAATCTATGAAAGCACTTCTGTATCTCTCACCAAAGACTCTGAATTTAGAATAAGGTTTCGAAGAGGAAACATACTTCTTATCATCCTATTGCTTTTTAGGTTCTCACATTCTCAAATTTGCTGTTTTGGTCAAAATAGTCTTTGTGATTTTGTGTATAAATGCTCGTGTACATGATACTTTCATACTGTAAGCCCATTCCTAATTAGGAAATCTGACAGCCTGAGCTTTTTTCGAAATCAACTCTTTATTGATGATGGTTGCTAGGTATTACATACTTCCCTTGAAAATAATTAACACAATATATTTCTTTGTTATTGTGTGTCATGTTGTTGTATGCTTTGAAAAAGTGCAGATCTTATATTGTATCTTCCTTAACACACTGTAAATGCATATATCTGCTACTAATGTTGAGACATGAAAACATTGGTACCTTAGAATCAAGATCCTCCATTTGAATCAGTCACAGTATTTCTGATATCTTTAAAATATAAATGTACAAAGCTTTCAAGTAGTTTTAAAGGCATGAAACATCAAACATAGTAACACACAGCCTCACATTTTCTATAAAAAGATCTTCCCTGTACATGTTATTTTTTTACTAGTGCCAAAGATCATCTCTGATGAGGGTCAAATAATGCTCAGATATATGAACATATCTATATTTTTAGACTATGGAAGAATAAAATATATTTTATTTATGAAAGTCTGTCACCATTGTAGTCATAGATTCCTAGCATTAAGGGCATTTGAGTTATGCCTTCCATCATATAGTTTTAATAACAATATTTACTTGATTTCTGTCTTCATTTTTTGGCTATTATGAAAAAAAAGAACTGAAGACTTCTTACTATTTTCTTATTGACTTTTAGCTAGTGAAAGAATTAATCTGCAATTTTTGCACAAGTAGTTAATCCCACTTAAATTACTCATAATTGGAGAAGTACTAACATTCTATAGTGATGAAAATACGTAGGAACTTCCAAAGCAGTTTCTTTCCATTGTATTTGCATTGTAAGCATAATTTTGAATTGTTCTGTGAATATCTAGCTTTGCACCTATAGCCATGACTTCGGCAATTATACATATGAAATAACACTACATGGATCTGAGTGAGAAACAGCTGATATGCCTCATAGTATAAGAAGTTCAGTTTTACAATCTCTTTCCTAATATACTATGAAGCATCTCAATTACTTTTCAATATTTATATAAGTTTGTATATTTGTACAAATATGAGATTGACTATGCATAATTAAATTTATACATACATATGCACGTATGTTTATACTTCCTCAATACAGTTGAGAATTTTATACACCAGTACAGCATTTATGTTAATTTATACTCAATTCTGCTTCTTTCTTTAAAAATACATCTATACTAAAATTGTCAGAATAGATCTTACTATATAATAAAATTTGCAGTGGCCCATAGGTAAATCAAATGAGATCCTAGAAGGGGAGTAAAGATGGGATGGGGCAAGAGACACAAGAAATGTAGACAAGACAGGATTCTGATAAAGTCTTGTATATTCAAGGGAATAATCCAGGTATATACAGATTAAGGGAAAGGAGGCAATTCTCCTTGTACATGGGTAACTAGGCAACTTATTGGCAACCTAACCATGATCTAATGGTCAGGCGTAAAGACCCTAAATCAACGTATAGAAAAGTCAGATTGTTCAGAACATGGGAACAATGGATAAATAACTCCTTGCAGAGTTAGTATTTGACAGATGAGAACAGAAGGCGATGCAGAGCATAACATTGTGTGGGAAAAGATTCAGGGAGCAGTAAGTCTCTCACGGGTTCCCCTTTTTATTTTTATTAATGTTTAGAATGATGAACGTCACTTGGAACTGTCTCTGTCTTAATTTGGGAGAAGATCCTGTAGTCCCACCTTTACTCATCATAGGAAGACAGACTGCTTTTGGTTCTGTTCCTGTCTTAGATGCCATGCTTAACATAGGTATACATCCTCCCATTACACGTCTCTCAGTAACCAGCCCATTGCACCAAGTTTAAAAACAATTTTCTGTGTGCCTCATGTGTTCATGATCTTACCAGATAAATATTGTCATATTTTTTTTACTGTTGTCCATGTCTACTTAAAATAATGGACCCATATAATTTTCATTTTCTTGTATAATTTACATGTTAGTTGCCACATACACCTGTTGTTTTCATTTCTTTCTTTTTATTTATTTATTTATTGAAGATTTCTGTCTGTTCCCTGCCACCTCCCTCATCAGCCCAAAGAGCAATCAGGGTTCCCTGACCTGTGGGAATTCCAAGGACCATCCACCTCCATCCAGGTCTAGTAAGGTGAGCATCCAAACTGCCTAGGCTCCCACAAAGCCAGTACGTGCAGTAGAATCAAAAACCCATTGCCATTGTTCTTGAGTTCTCAGTAGCCCTCATTGTCTGCTATGTTCAGCGAGTCCAGTTTTATCCCAGGCTTTTTCAGACCCAGGCTGGCTGACCTTGGTGAGTTCCTGATAGAACATCCCCATTCTCTCAGTGTGTGGGTGCACCCCTCACGGTCCTGAGTTCCTTGCTCGTGCTCTCTCTCTCTCCTTCTGCTCCTGATTTGGACCTTGAGATTTCTGTCTGGTGCTCCAATGTGGGTCTCTGTATCAGTCTCCTTTCATTGCCTGATGAAGGCTAATATTCAGGAGGATGCCTATATGTTTTTCTTTGGGTTTACCTTCTTATTTAGCTTCACTAGGATCACTAATTATAGGCTCAATGTCCTTTATTTATGGCTACAAACCAAATATGAGTGAGTACATCCCATGTTCCTCCTTTTGGATCTGGCTTACCTTACTCAGGATAGTGTTTTCTATTTTCATCCATTTGCATGCAAAATTCAAGAAGTCCTTGTTTTTTACTGCTGAGTAGTACTCTAATATGTATATATTCCATACTTTCTTCATCCATTCTTCCATTCATTGAAGGTCATCTGGGTTGTTTCCAGGTTCTGGCTATTACAAACAATGCTGCTATGAACATAGTGGAGCATATACTTTTATTGTATGATAGGGCCTCTCATGGGTATATTCCCAAGAGTGGTATTGCTGGGTAAAGGGGTAGGTTGATCCTGAATTTCCTGAGAAACCGCCACACTGCTTTCCAAAGTGGCTGCACAAGTTTGCATTACCAACAGCAATGGATGAGTGTGCCCCTTTCTCCACAACCTCTCCAGCAAAGGCTATCATTGGGGTTTTTGATTTTAGCCATTCTGACAGGTGTAAGATAGTATCTTAAAGTCTTGATTTGCATTTCCTTGATTGCTAAGGAAGTTGAGCATGACCTTAGGTGTCTTTTGGCCATTTGAACTTCTTCTTTTGAGAATTCTCTGTTCAGCTCAGTGCCCCATTTTATAATTGGGTTGATCAGATTTTTACGGTCTAGTTTACTGAGTTCTTTATATATTTTGGAGATCAGACCTTTGTCAGTTGTGGGGTTGGTGAAGATCTTCTCCCAGTCAGTGGGTTGCCTTTTGGTCTTAGTGACAGTGTCCTTTGCTTTACAGAAGCTTCTCAGTCTCAGGAGGTCCCATTTAATCAATGAGGCCATTAATGTCTGTGCTGCTGGGGTTATACGCAGGAAGTGGTCTCCTGTGCCCATGTGTTGTAGAGTACTTTCCACTTTCTCTTCTATCAGGTTCAGTGTGTTCGGACTGATATTGAGGTCTTTAATCCATTTGGACTTGAGTTTTGTGCATGGCTATAGATATGGATCTATTTTCATTCTACTACAGGTTGACATCCAGTTTTGCCAACATAATTTGTTGAAGATGCTCTCTCTTTTTCCATTGTATTCTTTTAGCTCCTTTATCGAATATCAGGTGTTCATAGGTTTGTGGGTTAATGTCAGCGTGTTCTATTCGATTCCATTGGTCGACTTCTCTGTTTTTATGCCAATACCAAACTGTTTTTAATACTGTAGCTCTGTAATAGAGTTTGAAGTCAGGGATGGTAATGCCTCTGTCTAGAGTCTGTTTTTGTCCTGAACTTTCTTTACTGAATATCTTCATTGTTTATTCAGATGAGACAAATGTGAAACTACAAAATTAGATGCAATTTAACACTGCTCCTAGTAATGCATGTCTTGTTGCATGGCATTTGTAGCTGGCTCCTCACCTTTGGTCCCCCTGAGATGAGCTTCATGGCTGAGGACTCAGGGAATCCTAATTATCACTGCACCTCTGGGACATTATTGGGTCCATTCTTACACTGAGTAGCATGCAGGCCACTGTTAATAAACCTTTTAAAGTATTTGATTGTGGGAACACTTAATAGAGCTATGCTCTTGGTAGTCACCAGCACCCAGCCATTCCTCTGTTTTCCATTAGCATTGATCTTAGCTGAACAAAGACATGTATTCAGAAGCTATGTTTGATTCAACCTCTTTGATTGCTTAGATTCTTTTAGATACATATTTTTATTTGTTTTATACTAATTAGGTTCTCCACATCAGAATGTCATTAGTAGACAGAGTTTTGTTTCCCTCTAGACAGTTCCTCAGTAAGCATAGAGAAAATTATTATTATTTCTAAACACTCAACAAATTGCTCAGGTCATTACTAGTTAACACATAAATTTTAAATTAAAATATATTTCTTATAAGTGCTCTGCCATGGGGATTGGTACCTTTACTCAGTATACCAATTATATCTACTTCCCACAGCTTCTTATGATACTGAG